ACCGAACAGTTCATTTGAACACGCATAGAATCAAATGCACAAACATGCTCAATTAACTGGAACATCATCACGGTTGCATTCAGCCATCGCACCCGAACAAAACACAGATTTGCAACCCCAGGAACTATCAAGAGCAGGTCAGACAGTCCGGTGGCCGTCCCGCAGCGATATTGAGCAGTTGTTGATTTACCAACAAACACGCAATTCGGAAAAGTTCCCAGAACTCAGCGAGGGTCTCGTGTTACAAGGCTTGTCCACTTTCGCCTTCATTTCTCGGGATGTCAGGCACAGATTTGATGCGTCCTGGCAGCGTTGCCCTGGGTGGACAAAAGGACAGGGCTCCAAAGAGTCCCTCTCACACCGGCCTGGCCATTCATTCACACACATTCCAGGACGTTTGCCATGGAGACGCCCCCCCATACAAATCCCAACAGCTCCCCTGAAAGTCAAAGGCGGCTCAAATACTAATTTGTCTCACAGACAAGCAAAACCTTCAACGCTACACCACTATTATTGGTTAAACCCCCACCAAATCCTGTGTTACTTTCTTTCTTTGGTCATTTTACTGACAGACCTGGGCATGCTGAAGTATTAAAAACTTTCACAATCAAAAGCGCCAGCTTATGATGCACGCTGAGGTCATCATTCAGCGGCAAGCAGAAACAAAGGCTTTCCTAACAGTGTTGTAACTTCCTTTACATGAGTGTATCAAATGTCCCAAATTAAAAGACTAGGCTTAACATTTGAAGCTTGTTTCATTGTAAGATTTGCATAATATTTGTATAACGCTGCCGGATGGTTTGAGTCAGGCCCGGATTGGCTAATCGGGAGGACCGGGAGAATTCCCGGTGGGCCGGTCCGTTTTTTGGCCGCGAGGGCCGGTGTCCCTAGCTCCAGAATCTGTTGCTCTCAGCAATCACACTTTTTAAATTTATTTATTTACTTGACCACAGCCTTTTTATTCATTATTATACCGCAACTCTTCTCTTTTGATCTATTTTAATGATGATAAAACTCAGTTGTGTCATCATTCATAAAACAGTTGTTGTGGTCGAGCGGATAGCACGTTAGGTTAAGACGCCGTGGACCCGGGTTCGATCCTCGTTAGAGTAATTTAGTGTTTTCATTTTTATTGATAAGACATATAATATTGTTAGGATTGTTGAACATTTGAAGTTCTAAAGCAGCTGTTTTTTCAAAAAAAAAAAAAAAAAAAAGACGTGATAGTGTCATTAGAAACTGATTTGGAAATATTTATTTATTTACTTATTTTAATATAGTCAGTTGTGAACTGAGGTGGGCCGGTCTGAGGCTTGAAACTCCAGAGCTGAAAAGGTGTCCCACTCCGGCCCTGGTTTGAGTTTCACAAACATCTAAGGCCATGTCCACACTAATGCGTTTTCATTTGAAAACGCATATTTTTGTCTCCGTTTTGCCCTTCCATCAACACTGAGACGCGTTTTTAGGAAACAAAAACGTATCTTTTTGAAAACGCTCTCCAAAGTGGATAAATTTGAAAACGCCTTTTTCGTGTCGTAGTGTAGACTGTGAAAACAGAGTCTTTCGAAAACGATGACGCGTTATTTTTGTCATGTGACACTCAGTCATGTTACTAATTCGTTTACTTTATTTTCGTTGTGAGTATGATTTTAGTGATGTCGTCCTTACTGTGAGGGTAAGCAGCGTCATCAGCAGGATACTGTTCTTTAAAGCGGTCCAGTATATCGGCGTATTTGTTTTGGCACGTCTCCCAGTCTACATTTTCACTCTCTTTTGCAACTTTGTATTCATGTGTTACTCGAAGCAGCAACTCTACTTCATTGTCAGTCCATTTAAAAAACTCTGTGCTTTTCCTTGACATTTTGCCGCAACGTTTCAAAGAGCCGGAAAGAAAATAAACGTCAGCCGGAAATGACGCGTGACGAAGCGTCTTACGTTTCACGCATGCGCAGTACAGGTTGAAAGCATTGGTAGTCGTTTCAGTGTGGATGACAAAGTTTTGGAAAACGAATAGAAACGACAGTGTGGACGTGAAGCGTTTTTAGAGGAAAACTCCGTTTTCAAATTTATCCGGATTAGTGTAGACATGGCCTAAATGTTACATTAAGTGCATGAATATATTTAAACACATCAATCTTCTCCTGGCTTTGGGTAGTAGATTGAACTTGCAGATTTCGTAAGATGTCAGATAGCCTGCAGCTTCAGCCTACGCAAGGGTGAGCCTATGTGCTTTATTCCCATTAATAAATGATGCAGGTCTCTGCATGACATGCACAACTCTGAGTGAGTTCAGCTACATCCTTTCAGCCCTTTTCCTGTTTTCCACCTCTGGTTTCCATCGGATAGATAGGTTACATAGCAAAACCCGGTCAGTAGAAACCATGGCAGCTTAAAAAATCTCAAATTAAAACAGCGTGATTGATGAATCTTAATCTAAAAGTGGAAGCAAGCCAGTCTAACTCATACGTTTATCCTAAATATCTCTAGCTATTCACTTAAAGCGTATATTATATTGCGTATATAGTGTCAGATTTGACAAATGAAGCCAAAAGCACAGGTCAGCACTCAACAACTCCATCCATCATTCGCTGTTTTCCTCTTGCCGTTCCCATCCGGCCTCAATAATGGCCGTTCGGTGCTTTGTAAACACTCCTATCTAATTTGCAATGGTCCTTATCCGTGAATGGCCACCTCTGACCCCTCGACAGACCCACCGCTCTTTCCCTTCTTTATGAGTGAGAGCCCGAAAACAAGCACCTAAATGTCACCCAAGTCTCAACTTTAATATATGAGGCCAACGTAGCGTTTTACAGCCCTGTGAGAGGCCCATCTTATCTGGAGGACACTGTTGACATGGCATGCTTTAATGGACTGAGAGAGCAACAATACTCGGTCTGCTTAAGATGAGACACAGGTTCTGGCTTGTATGAAACTGGCTAAACATGGTCACTTCAGCAAAGATGGACTAAGGCAGGGATTTGCATCCGGTGGGCGATCCTACAGCTGCACCGTGAGATGATAAAATGAGCTTCAATGTTATAGTATAATTATTTGATTACATTATTAACTACAATCACCGGCCACTTTAGTATTAGTACCGGGTTGGACCCCCTTGTGCCTTCAGAACTGCCTTAATCCTTCATGGCGTAGATTCAACAAGCTACTGGAAATATTCCTCAGAGATTTTGCTCCATATTGACATGATAGCATCACAGTTGCTGCAGATTTGTCGGCTGCACATCCATGATGCCAATCTCCCGTTCCACCACATCCCAAATGTGCTCTATTGGAGTGAGCTCTGGTGACTGTTGAGGCCATTTGAGTACAGTGAACTCATTGTCATGTTCGAGACACCAGTCTGAGATGATTGAGCTTTATGACATGCTGCGTTATCCTGCTGGAAGCAGCCATCAGAAGATGGAGACACTGTGCTCATAAAGGGATAGACATGGTCAGCAACAATACTCAGGTAGGCTGAGGCGTTGATTGCCTCACTGTTAAAGGGCCATGAAACCCCCTGGTTTCAGCAGGGTGTTTTCACACCTCTACTTTGGAAAAAGTCAGAAAAGTGGGCGTGTCCAGCTCTGTTTAGGGGGGAGTGTCGGAGGAAGAAAAGAGGCATGGTGTGGGAGTGTCTGTTTAGGCGCGCTGAGTTTTAGAGTCAAAATACACACACACACACGGGAGAAAGTGACTGTTTACATGGACATCAGTAGTCGAATTATTTGGCATATTATTAAATGGTGGACTTTAACTGCAGTTTGGCTCTATCATTCAGGGAATCCATTCATGTCCCTCACAACAAACGAGATATTTGATTGGAGGAGCTGCTCTAAGCGTGTTTTTTTTATGCAATGTTTGATACCGCACGGCGAATGAGAGAAAAAAAAAAACTCTGCATTTCCCAGAAACCTAGATGCACACAGCAGGTAGCGTCAGAAAGCCGCGTGTGTTATTCCGGTCACTAAATGCGGTGAAAATCCTACACGAGGTTAAAGTTTGGTTGTGGTGCTAACATGTTTACACTCGGTGCAATAGTTTGTTAGATACGAACAAACTGAATAAACAAAGAGCACTGGTCGCTCACTTACCAAATCTGTAGAGACAGGACAATCACCAGCAACTAGAGCCGCGTCTTTATTAAGAGGAGACTACAAGCGAATCCGGATCTCAGCGTTTGCAGATGAGAACAGCTCTCAGGTAAACAATAATCCTCCTTAGACACGTAAGTTATTGTTGTCGAGCGTCGCGTACACTGTTAATCCACACGTGACTCCAGCTGAGCTCTCACAGAGAGAAAATGAAAACAAAACTGAACTGCAGCAAACTATAAAAGCAACACTTCACGCTTGTTTTGCCAACACAACGTGGCGTCTCTGTCGTCTAAACACTGTGACAGTAATGAATATTAATGAAGTAGCACAATAGAGCGCGCTGATTGGTTTGAACCAAGCCTTACTCATGCATTAATGCAGCACACTCGGAGATGTAATACGGTACACTCAGGTAAAGTCGTCCAGTCTGCACGCTGGAATACACGCTATTATGTCATGGCCGTGACGCAGCTTCAAAAATTCGTTTCAAACCGGAAATACGAATTTGCTTGAAATAATGCAAAAACAACCAATTTACACTTTTTAGTGAAATATAGGTGTCCTAATAGTGTTTTTAGCAGTGTGGGACACATATACGACTGTCAACAGCTCAAACACACGTGTTTTGGTGTTTCGTGACCCTTTAAGTACAGACTTAACTGTGGCTCAACCTTCCAACCACTGCATATCAACAAGGTCTACATTCTCAGGTGTGCAAGGCAAACCGTGAGTAAATGATGTCACAATTTTCCTATTTAGGTAACATTTAGGCATAAATGTTGCATGTTTTTGGAGGTTTTCGGCTAATTTTCTAAGCCAATACTTCCTCAATTCTCAGTAAATCTGTGGTTTGTCCTGGATGTCCATTTCTTATGAAATTCCCCCCACAACAGAACAAGAACTCACCCGTCTGGATCCTGATAGTTGATGTTCAGCCGCTTGGTGGAGCCCAGTAACTCTACAACACAAGAGAAAGAAAACATACGTCAGCTACACGTGAAGATGAAGAAAGCTGATACTTCCAAACTACGCCAAAACAACCAAGGCTAAATTTGACATCAATTCCCCAACATTTTCATCCGAGTGGTCATCCGAAAAACGGTTTACCGTATATTAACATGCACTGAAATCAGTGCTTAAAAGGTCACCTACTGTATGTTTTGATTTCATTGAGACCCTTCTGCTTTTTTAAAACACAAGTTCTTGAAAGTGCTTATTTTTGTAAAAGGTTTTCTGGAGGAAAACAACATCCATATTATTTCCTCCAGTCCGCCAATGTTATATAGCCAACACTTTGTGTTATATAGCCCACAATACCACTATAACCTACTGCATTCACAATAGTTATGAGCATTCAAACAATTTGTACGTGTCGCATGAAATTTGTGACCTGTCGGCCCAATGTTATATTTAACATAACATTGAATTGCTCTGTTTTGGTCATATTGACCTTATTCTAAAATGCGGAAGTGCGGCTGTTTTCACGATTGTCTTAGAACTTCCGATTTAGTCGCCTATGGGAGAAATGACTATGAATAATAAACTGCAGAAAATGACAGAAACTACTTGCCTTACAAACAAATGTTTGCATGACTATACAGACCAAGTAGAATAATATAATAAGAAAATATCAAATTGCAACATCAAGCAGCGTAACGAGCAGTTTTTAACGTCAAAAAAATGAATGGAAGTGAATGAGACCGGAAGTATCAAGCCAAAAAGATTCAAATGGCAGCGCCCGCTCGTCAGCGGAGAATAAGGTGAATAAGGTATATTTGTTTATGTATATGCTAGATTCGAAAGGTTTGGGCTTGTGACAGTAGAGTAAATGCATTCATCAAATAATGGAGTAAAAAGAGTCAATAAAAGAGTCAATTTCCTTTACCTTTCCTTTTCCATGACCATTGCGAGGACTCTTAGTATGACTGAACAAACTCATGCTACATGGCTTACGGACACATGGGAAAGCATGCGAATGTAAAAATGTGGTAGACAACTAGAATTATCCTAATCTGAGTGCTTTAAATATGAATGCTTTGTTTGGACACACTTTGTTGAAAACCAGGGCTTAATTTGTGCCGGAACACGCCGGATCCGGCACCTCTGATATCTGATCCGGCACCTTATTTTACAGATGCCCGCCCTTCTCCCCTGTCCGCTGTTCACTTTCTTCCGTGCATTCCTAACCCTCTATCGTCTGCAACAACCCCTCGCTCTTCACTTTCGTCCTTCATCCGCGACACCCCTCTGTCATTCAATCCCCCCCCCTGCTCTCCATCCTAGGGTAACATACCAGATCCGTTACCTTGATCTGTTTCTGAGACTCGCAATTCATAAATTAAGCACTGGTTATAACAAATCCCACAATAACGACATGTTTGACAGAGATTAGAGGTTATTTAGTGGCTTTTATACAGAATTACTGTATTTAATGAATGCGTTTCCAACCAAAGTCTGTTTGTAGTCGAATAGGGACTAGCGTAAAACTTCAAGACTTTGTATTCAGCATCATTCAATTGTGATTGGTATGAAACCTATGACTTGTATGCATATTCTAGTACCATGTGTTATTGCGTCTCCAAAGCTCAGATGCAAGACTACCGGAAACGTCCATTTCTAGTTACATCTGTGTCTGCGGTTGTAAATCAATTCAGTCTCTTGTTTCCAGAGATTGCATCCTAAAGGCTCATGGCTGATTTGTCACATGAAGCAAAATGAAAGGTCCATGTGTTTACAGAGACTGTCTTTCATTCACTGAATGCTGTACATTTCTGTTAATACCTCGAGGATACAGAATATGTAGATCACACAGTAGCCATTCTTTAGCAGTGAAAGCTAAAATGAATTGAGAGTTGGAAGTGTTACAAGAAAAGGGCAACATTGGGCATTCGGTAAGCTGTAGTCAAGCTAGTTTACTTGGTGTGTTTTCTAAGTCGCTTCTTTTTAGGCTCATATTGGCTAAAGTTAGTATGTAGGGGCTGTTCGGGACAAGGGACAGAGCTCTGATTGGATTAGAGTCTCAGATCACATCTCTGCCAGTGAGGGTGGTCAAGCTCAAGAGCATCAAATGAAAAGCCAATGAGAAGAGGGTGCAGGGCAAGTCAGACACTTGAGAGCATTTGATTGGTCAGCAGATTAGATGAGAACCTGAAGTATGAGGTGACGTCATAAAAACGTTTACATATATCTTCTTAAAGCAAATCTTGGCACTGTTGTGGAGCACACTAGTTAATAGATATCACTGAGGGTAACATCTAGAAAACTTGATTTTGATTTCAAGGGACCTTTAACTTTCAGGTACACACTAGACTTGAGAAACTAGCCAGTCTACTCAAGTCTTTCATCTGAGAGCCCAGAAGTAGTCTGGGATTCACACAGATACCTGACAAGAAGCTCTGAGGCTAGTGCGTTTTAGCTTTCCCTGCTGAAAAAACAGCTTAAACCAGCCTAGGCTGGTTGGCTGGTTTTAGCTGGTCGACCAGGCAAAACCAGCCAACCAACCTACGCTGGTTTAAGCTGGATTTTTCAGCAGGGTTAAAACGGCGTTTTAGATCAAAAACAATCCGCATCCACACTAGCGTTTCACCTAGCGTCTCTGAACAGATCTCCGTCCACACTACGCCACCAAAAACATATATCACGTGACCATTCGCGCACTCTGGGCATGCGCGTTCTAGTATAAACAGGAAGCATGCGTCTCGCTCGGCATTTCGTTATCGTTAGTCAACAAACGCCGGTTGAACAATGAACGCGATGGCAAAGAAAGCAAGAGAGGTGTTTTTGTGGACAGAAGATGAAGTCGAGTTGTTACTAAACGTAACAAATGAATAACTGCACAATGGCGCCTAAAACTGACAATAGTGCAAACAACGTTCCCATTTCTGTGTCCATGTTGTTGTTTACAGTGAAGGCTGGTCTGCCGGCTTCCGGTAGCATTAAAGCCATGTGTTATAGTCATGTGATAGGGGCTTAACGAATAAGGGAAGGATACGCAATGACATAAAAGCCCCAATCAGGTAGGGAATCTCGGCAGCCCCGCCTCCATTTCAGATGTCTCCGTTTTCCCTCATCCACACTGAGACGGAGCAGCAGCAGCGTTTCAGAATGAAAACGGCCTCTCCAGCGTTTCCAAAACGCTCTGTTTTCGGTGCTTGAAAAATCCGGCGTAACCGTGGCAAAACGTATGGGTTTTCAAACTAAAACGCATCAGTGTAAACAGGGCCTGAGATTTCTGTTAGTTTACTAGGAGGTATTGGACTAAACGACACTGTCTCTTCCTGTGAACAACAAAGGCCACTTCATTAACCTCCGACCTCTGCGTGACCTCACTGGCCAACTCAGGGGGGTGAGGGAGCGTTAAACTGACAGGAGGATGGAAAATAATAGAGCACTCAATAGTGATCTTCAAGTCTTTGATCTTCAGCAATTGTGGCCCTTCAGGGAGGCATTTCCGTCAATGCAGGACATGGACTGTGTCTTACGACCATTAGAGTCAATGAGCTGTTTGCTTCATAAATCAATCTTTTCCCAGACTTCCCTACATGTTTCATGCATTGTGATCACAAGGGTTTAAAAAATCCAATGACAGTACTGTATTTCTTGTGATGTAGATTCAATTTTACTTCAGAGGAAAGCGTTTTATATACACACATTAAATATCTTGGCTGTTTCTCAATTCCAGGAATGCAGAGAACGGACTTGTGTTCTTGTGGAGAGAGTGGTCTTCGCAGGTTACATCGGAAGAACAAACTCGGGAGACCACAAGAACACAGAATGATTCCTGTGAGAAATAAGACGCTGCGATCTTCGGTTCTTTCTGATGGTCACATGACCTACACGCATTTTTAACGGGAAATTATTTAAACATTACATATTGTTTTTTCACTTTTCAATATACATAACATGCACAAAAACCTTACAAATATACTTTGCACAACAGAAATAAAACAGGTTTTAAAGGGCACCTATGGTGAAAAATCTACTTTTCAAGCTGTTTAGACATACATGTGTGTAAGTATAGTGTATAGACAGTCATATTGGGCTGATATAAACACACACAGTCCATTTTTTTTTCAAATTTAACAACATAAAAACGGTGGAGCAATTGGAGCGGTTTTCAGATCGACCGCAACTTTACGTAGGAGTGTGATCCCCCCGCCCACCAATATTGATTGACAGCTGCGCACATTAACATGTCTCCATAGTAATGCCTATACTCATATCGACAAGACAAGACGAGCGCAAAGCAACCGGAAATAAAAGGTCTGTTCAGTTTGCTAGGATCATAAATCATCATCAGACGTGATCAAGAGTGAGGTTTACAAGTTTAACATGTTTTAAAACGTGTGCACGTGTGTAATGAAGTTCAGCCATTCACTTCATCACCACAGCCTCGTGTCTCTCTCACTGTCTCTCTGTGTGCGTGTGTGTCTGCCTGCGTCTCTACGCCATGTATGCCTTGCCTTCGAGCAAGTTTTGTGCTCAAGTCTGCATTGGTGTGTCCTCGATATCAAGAATACATCCTGGAACTTTCACACATCGGCCATTGTTGCGGTCTTAAGTTTTGGAACTGAACTCTAATGGTTGATGATGATGTTACACAAGAATTTAAGTATGCAATAAAGCATATTGAGGAACTCCTAGGGCAGGGGTTCTCAAACTTCAGCGATCTTGTGCCCTCGTGTTCTCGTGTAATGCCATCATCAACTGCTAAAGTTCAGTTCCAAAACTCAAGACCGCAAGAACGGAGGACGCATGAAAGTTCCTGGATGTGTTCTTGGTATCGAGGACGCACCGATGCAGACTTAAGCACTGGGCTCACTCTAGAAGTCCCAGAAGTTATTGCGATTGGAGTTGCAAGTGCAGCATTTTATATAAGTTTAATATTAATGTTCAGAGATTTAACTTATTTACCTCAGGAGTTTCCCTAAATCAGGGTTTTTCAAAGTCTAAGACAGTGGGCCTCCCTTTTGACACAACTTATCCATTGGCGCCCCCC